AGTACCCTAGAATAGTAGGATCCTTATTATAAGGACCCCAAAAGTAGGTATCCCTAATTTTGGGAAACTCCCATTTCCCTTAATGTCAAAGCCCAGGGTCCCAGGAGCCACAGGGCCATCTCCCATTGCAGGCCCTGGCGCTCAAAGAGCAGGGTTTAGGGTTTACGGCGGTTTAGCGTTTAGGGTTCAGGGTTCAGGGTTTAGGGTTTACGGCTTAGCGTTTAGGGTTTAGGGTTCAGGGTTTAGGGTTTAGGGTTTACGGCTTAGTGTTTAGGGTTTAGGGTTCAGGGTTTAGGGTTTACGGTTTGGTAAGGGTCGTGTACTATGAGGGTTGCTACAGCGGCCACTAGAAGTACAAGGGTAGCACAAGAGTTACCATGTGTGCTGTAAAGTAGTCTGTAAGGGTTCTAGAATCCCAGGGGTTACCATAAGGGCACTATAAGAGCACTGCAAGGGCTTCAAAACGGTTTGTGGTTCAGGGGTTCGGTCCTTCGCCAGCACCCTGCACCCTGCTTCGAGGATTTCTGAGTCCGGCATCGTCGCGCGCTTGCGTCTGCCCCAACCACCCGACCCCTAAAAAAATTCTCAACCAAGGTTCGCGATTCAAACTCCAAACCTCGACGGGGGGCAACAATAGGTCAACACTTGGCATGCGAGCTTCCGACATATGCAGCCCCAATCCCTACGCCCCGATCAGCCATGCAGAAGCGATCCAAACCTTCCAACCAGCAACATGAACTCTCAATCCGTATCGCTGCCGACAAACGAGCAGCGTGTTAGTTAGCTCCTCAAGTCTGAGTTCGACTATACCACATCCCCCGCGAAGTGCAGCCCAACTCTTCTCCTTCACTACTCTCCAAACAGACCGAGACCGGAAATCGATTCAGGCTTCACCTAAACCCTAAACCCCGAACCCTAAACCCTAAACCCTAAACCCTGAACCCTGAACCCTGAACCCTAAACCCTAAAGGTCTTATATAAGGTGGTGCAAACTCTGAGGGGGAGATGGAGGCTTTGGGGCCTCGGAGCCTCAAACGCGGCCGGAGCCGGAGAGCCTCCTCTGTGCAAGAAAGGACTACTGGGAGGATCTTGGGACTTAGTAAGTAGGGCTATAAGGGTTTAGGGTTCAGGGTTCAGGGTTTAGGGTTTAGGGTTTAGGGCCTACTTGGAGGATCTTGGGACTTAGTAAGTAGGGTTATAAGTGCCCTAATTGGGGTTGTAAGTATAGTTACCTGGTTTATAACCCCAGTTACTAAGTCCCATGATCCTTTAAGTAACCGACAACCGACTAACTCAGGTCCTAAGGTTCCCAAAAGAGGCCCCAAAAATTGGGCCTCTTGTGGTACATCTCACTGACAAATACACGAAGGAACTCTACAGAATCCTCTTGCCAATTAACGAGGCCTCTACCTGATTCTCCAAACAAGCCCCACAAACACTAAACCCTTAACACTAAACCAGCATGCCGGAACCTTCTCACAGGCTGCAATGCCCGCGTTCACAGCCGCCAGGGTGACCGTCAGGCCAGCCAGATCCACCTTCGGGATACCATCTTCAGAAAAGGTCGTCAGGATATGCCTTCGGGATTTTGGTCGCTCTTGTTTTGAGCTTGGGGTTGTGCAGGTTGTTCGGGATCTGGAGTTTGGGGACAGTGTGATTTGGTGCTTAGGCTCAGCGGATTGCTTCCAAAAGCTTGCAGTACCTTCATCGCACCTCGAGAAAGGTCTAGGTTTCTATGCTTTCGATCTTGCACACACATCGGTGAAGAGTGTCGCAAAGGTGTTAAAAGCGTGCCTAGGCTCTCAGTGTTTTGGATCACTGTAGTGGCTAATGTTTAGGGTTAGGGTGTTAGAGTGGGCAGTCGACATGTCACGAGTGCTGCCGTGTACGGTCTGAAAGAGTTTGGACTCAGAAGTTAGGAATTACGGTTCTTTTTTGGCTTGCGGTTGAGGTGGGCTTGAGGCTCAGGGCCGTCGGCGCAGACAGTTTGTCTTGAGGGCTCCACTGCCCTGAACTTCAAACCTGAAGACAAACCGTGGGTCCCTAAGCCCGAAGAGATATCCCTTGGCCTTACTTGAAAGCAAAAAACCCCCGAAAATTGCAGACCAAAGTCCACCAAACTCTGCGGAGGCCCCGCTGCCTCATCCAGAAGCTGCAAGGCCTGCTCCCACCTGTCTGCACACGCCACTCAACAATTGAGGCTACAAGAAGCCAACCATCCACAGAGATAAAGAGAGAGAGAGAGAGATCTACATCTATTTCTTATTGTATATATATATATATATTATATGTATGTAATTAATTATTCACCTGCACATCATGTATACATCTATTTGGACAGGTATGCACAAACGCATGTGTGATCATGTGTGTATGTTGCTATATAAAGACCTAGCAGAGGGCTGCAGACGCGAAATTGTGGAAGTGAGAACAAGAGATTCGTCAAGTCAAACCAGAGGCAGTAGTTCAACATGAGAAAAACGTACATATGAATAAATGCATGTATGCATGATGGCTGGGCTGTACGGATGGCTGAATGGGTGGATGCAAGGGTGGCCGAATGGGTGGATGAAAGGGTTGCAGAATGCTTGGATGAATGGGTGGATGAATAGATTAAGGTGATTCTTGTATGAATGTCTGCATGTATGCATGCACTATGCCTGTTGCAGCATGTCTGTGTGTACATCCATCGATCCATCCATACATACCTACCTACCTACCTACCTACCTACCTACGTACGTACGTACGTACGTACGTACATGCAAAGACACATATACAGGGTTTCACACACATGAGTTCTGGCCGAAACGAGTCAACAGACCTGGTCCCACTGGCACAGGCGCTGATTGCTGCGCCGAAGGCTGCGACGTCGGGACGTGGGAGCCTTGCAAGCACCGCGAATGAAAGCGGCATGCAGCTTGCAAAGTAAAAAGGGCTATACGGATGGTGAAAGTCCGGGTGGCTCTAATCCCTCAACTCTGCCCCTCAATCGGAGGTTGAGCCACAGAAAGGACACGAGCCCTACAGTATCTCAAGTACGACGACCCTCGAGCACAAAAACGTCGCACCCTAAATGGTGGCCGTGGAACTGGCGCAAGAGCACCAAAGCTTGGTGCCACTGCGAGGCCTCTTGGCTGGTCCACGGCTTTGGGGTTTCGGGCTTGGTATGAGCGCGGCTCCTTCTATGTTGGCAAAACATGGCAAAACCAAGTAGGATAGAGAGGAAACGGGAGCGCTTTGTAAGTTGACGACTCTTCTGCACACGTCTCTCCGACCGCCCTGCATATCAGATCTTGAAAAGGGGAAGAATCACAGCGCCTGTGTGTTCTTTAGCCGAAAGCAGCCTGACCGCTGCCCTAGTCATGACACAGGCAAAGGGAGCCCGAAATCAGAACAACCCCCCACCACGGCCAAAAACAGCGTGGGAACATCTTCCGGGCCTTCTCACAGGCGCTGATGGCGGAGGTGTAGAGCAGCAAATCCGGACCATGCCTGTCCGAACAGATAAAGACTATTTTAAAAACCCTCGGACTCCTAAGCCCTTCTAACCTCCGAGTTACACAAACCCTGACCCACGGCCCGCCAAACCACGCAGAGTCTCAAAACCCGACGCGGAAACGCGAGTAGGAAAGACCCAACCCCGTCCCAATACTGGACTTCAGTGTTATGCCCTGTAGGGCGTGGGGTAGTAGTAATGTAGGTGCCATAATAACTAGAATAGGGTTTTGGGGTATAGTATACTATAATTATAATAGGGAATCCCCAAAATAGTACAGGTAATTTTTAAGGCCCCTATACTACCTGTTGCTACTTTGTCTCGGACCCCAGGCCAGAACCTGTGGCCCATGCTCATCGAACGCGACTGCCCCTTAAACCGCTAACTCCCCCACCCCCCCCTGCCAAGCCCGACCCCAAATCCCCTCAATCACCCCCTCCGTTGCGTTGAAGCCCTCTCCCCCGACCCCTAACCCCTGAACTCCCAAAAACCGTGAAGCCCGAAACCCCCAAACAGCTGGGCCGCACCTGTCCACCCCAGCATGAGCTACCAGGGCGACCGCATGCTCCCATTGCCCGGCACGAGCGCATGCGGTGACGGCCGCGTTGTAGACCTGAAGATAGTAGCTTTCGCTTTTTTAGGGCTTTAGTGACTAGGGAAGTCGGGTGTCAGAGCCAGACTTTAGGTTTTAAAGCCTGTTGTGCTTTGAGTTTAGGGTCGAGAGCTCCTTGTGTGTTTACCGAGTCGGCGAAAACCAAAGAAAGCGAAGGTAAACTGCCGTCTTGAAGGTTCCACTGCCGCAAGCACACTGCCGAAGACCCTGAACTTCAAGAGCGATCCAGACCACTCAGATACAAGCATGCTAAACTTGCTACACACTTAGCCCAATGGTAGCTGGGGTGTCGCACCCCTGCCCTTTCATAAGGAGGCAGGCCGCTACGGCATTCGGCTTGCCACTGATCCTCAGATTTCAGTCGGGACACTTTCGTCTTCGAAGGGATCCCTTTTGCTTTTGAGGGTCCTTGACATAGGATTCCCAGCCCCCCTAAAGGGCCTAAACCCTAAAGCCCAATGACCCCTGACGATTCAAAGGCTTTCCGAAGCTCCAGTCGACCCTACCCCCAATGCCGCGTCGCTACCAGATCCCTGCTTTTCTCTACAGGGTTTAGGGTTTTTTTTTAAAGTGCCATGGCCTTTTCCGTCAGAGCACGCCTGCCTCCGTAGAGGCTTACACTGAGGCATCCATGGGTTTAGGGTTTAGGGTTGAGGGGGCCAGAGGACAGGAGCCGTGAGGCCTTATGGTTCAGCCCCAGAGCCCTCTCGAAGATCTATACTAAACCTATAAAGAAGAGTTGGAAACCGGCATGAAGGACAACTGGTGCTGGGATTCCCTATACATTACCCTCATGGCTTGAGGCTGTTGGGCTTCCAATTTTGGTCTTCTACTTCAGAGCCTCTCAGCTCATCGCGAAGGCTGGCAGGGGGGTCTAGGATCTAGAGCTTAGGCTTGAAGGCTTGCTCTTCGGGCTTCGAGAATCCTGCAACCCCAAACCCCCGTAAACCCTAAACCCTAAACCCTAAACCTTAAACCCTAAACCTTAAGTCCTAAACCTTAAGCCCTAAACCCTAAACCTTGAACCCTAAACCCTAAGCCCTAATACCCTGAACCCTAAACCCTCTAAACCCTAAACCTTAAACCCGAAACCCTGAAACTTAAGCCCTGAAGTTTGCGGCCAGGGGGCTTGGCGAAGAGCTCCAAGGCGCTCTGCCACTGCTCGCCACCTGAACTCGTAGGGGGTTTAGGGTTTAGGGTTTAGGGTTTCTCTGCACCCCAAAACCCAGAAAGTCCCAATACCCCCCGGTAATTTAGGAGGATACCTTAAATCATGTATTGGGGGCCTGGTTTTTAGGGGTTTAAGGACCATTCCTAAGCCTCAGAACCTGATTACCCTAACGTCCGGACCCCTGGTATTGGCCTTAATTACAAAGGGGTTTGGGGCCTATTATACTAATACTATAATTATATTAAGAACCCCCTCCCCCTCCCCAAAAAACAAGTATAGGTAATTATTGAGGCCCCTATGTAATAACGCACACGTTCATTAGCAGCTTTCTGCTTCTGTCAAGGACCCCCGGAAAGGAAGATGCCCCGAGACCCACATCCCCCCGGTCATATGTTTTCTTTCATGGGCCCTCCACATAACGTAGAGGCCTTAATAATTCGAAGAGGGTTTTGGGGGGTACATGGTGCTATAGTCATAATATCGAACCCCCCAAAATAATACAGGTAGTTGTTTAGACTTCTATATTAAATCATCTCCCACTTTGGGGCTCTTGCTTTGCCACTAATGTTGAGTGAAGGTTCATTGCTCAGGGCTGTCAGGTGCGCAGTGTTCCGAACTTTTGAACACTATAAAACCTAAAGCCCCAAACCTAAAAGAAAGTGCCTTACTGATTAGAACAGGGTCTTGGGGTCCTTTATGGTATAAGCATATAGTAAGGAGACCCCAAAATATTATAGGTAACTATTAAGGCCCCTACACTGGCGCCTTAATCCTGCGCCCTGTCGCCGATTCTCTGAGACCCCGTCCAACCACTGACATCCTTGACATCCAGAAAGGGTGCCACACTCACCCGAGGACCACATGCCGGTAATATGGAGACCCTAAACCATGGGAACTTTCACCCGAAACTGCTTGCTAAACCTTTGAAGCATACTGAAGCGACCCTACATCCAAACCTTGAGCCACTATCCAAAGTCCGAAAACTTGCGCCAGAACTCCCAAGCCCGACATCCTAAACACTGAACCCCCGTCCTCAACGCTCAGCCCCGACCCAAACCCCTCCCAAAAGAACCGTAAACCCTAAACCCTAAATCCCTAAATCCTAAACCCCTAAACCCCAAACCCAAAACCCTAAACCCCAAATCCTAAACCCTAAACCCAAAGAACCGCAAGTCCCAGAGCTGTCGGGTCCCCGGCTCGCACAGGCCCCCAGCGCCGCCCCGTAGGTGACGAGGCTGGGTTCGACTTCCTGGCTGTGATTTGGGGTTTAGGGTTTAGGGTTTAGTTTTTAGGGTTTAGGGTTTAGTTTTTCGGGTTTAGGGTTTAGGTTTAATTCGGGTAGTTCTCTATATTAGGGTCCCCTTTTAAGTCCCCAACATAGTACGGCACCCTTACAAAAAAGGAGCCTAAAAGGGACCCTAATTTAGAGAACTACCCATTTGATGCAAACGATAGATGATGATGCTGCTGTGGGTAATGATGATGGCGATGGCGGTGGCGGTGGCGATGGCGGCGGGGGCGGTGGTGGTGGTGGTGGTGGTGGTGGTGGTGGTGGTGGTGGTGGTGGTGGTGGTGGTGGTGGTGTGATGGCGGCGCAGGGGTCGTCACCGCCACTGCTGTTAAGCGTGCCTTGTTCTTATGCTGCTGCTGAGGTTTGCATTGCTGCTGCTGATGCCTTGTCATTGGTACTGCTGACGTTTTACATATCAGCATCGCTGTCACTGTTGCTGTTGTCGCTTTGGTCATGGTTCATGCTGTTGTTTACTGTTGCTAGGTTGCTTTGCTGGTGGTGTTGCTGCTATTCATTGCCGCTGCTGCTTAGGCCTTCCAGGGAATGATGAATTATGGTGGGGCTTGAGAGAGTCACGGTGGGTCGTAGGCCGTAGGCTTTAAGGACGCATCTGCGATACCCAAACTCTCAACCCCGAAACGCAAACCCAAAACCCAGAAGCTACCCTACGTTCATCCCCGGAAGGGCGCTCGATACACCCTATAATGTAGGAACCTGATTAAGAAACCCTGGGACTTTATTAGGGTTCTTAATAGGAAACCTAATATATTGGGGCTATAGGGCCATGGTTTCTTAATCAGGTTCCTACATTATACCCCTGAGATGCTGGCCTAGAAATCCTCCCACAGCTCCATCAAGATAGCAATGCTGAAGGGTACGGTGGCTACAGGCAAGGGCTTAATGGATTTAGGAATTCAGAGGCTAACGGCGTTTAGCGTTTGAAATTTTGGGAATGTAAGACTTCTGTAGTATATTATAGTATAATACCGTATATTGCTATATGTATTATCGTATATTGACGAGAATCGTTTGGGCTGTTTATCATTTATCATTTCTGGAATCTAGGGTTGTTCGGGCGTCAGCTGAACAGTCCGCAGCCAAGTCTCCGCACGATCTTAACACAAAGGTGTAAATCACGACACCCCCCAACAAGAGGCCTCAAGAACTAGAATAGGAGTAAACTCGGCCATGCTTACAATAAGGACCCCCAAGGAATAATTAGCCCTAAACCCTAAACCCTAAACTCCTCCGACCCCTGCTTTTTGACCCCCACACCTCTGCTTTCATAGCCCCTAGGAGAGCCAGAGCTTGGTCCCAATGTCCGACAGCGCTGCGAGCGGTCAGGACCTCTCTGGGGCTTTATGGTTTAGGGTTATATAAGGGTTTTGATGGTTTGGGGTTTTATGGTTTAGGGCTTCAGGGTTTAGGACTTTGTGTTTTAGGGCTTGATGGTTTAGGGTTTAGGTTTAGGCTTCTTCTTTTAAGCACCCTGTTGCCGTCTGCAGATTCGGAAAGCCCCTGAGAGGTTAGGGCGGAGCGACTCAACGACCAGGTGAAAGAATAATGGTGTATAGAGTTTAGGGTTTGGGCTTTTCTGTCTGCCGAACCGTCCGACTTGCAGGGATCAGGGTTTGGGGTTTGCACCCGCGGTCTGAAGGGTCCTACAGTGTCCTACAGGCGACCCCAATACTTGCGACAAATCTCAAGAACCGCACACCCATTGACCCGGTCATTTGGTCGATCTTGAGCCCCAACCTTCTAACCGAACATCAACTCTTTGGGCTCGAGGGGCTATGAAAGCTTTATTAGTTTGGGAGTTTGCGCTTGTTCCGGATTTTAGTGTGCAGGGGTGGTGCTGCGCGACCTGGTGCAAGCGTAAGGTCGCATGAAACTGCAACTGGGAGAACTGGGCTGCTGTCACTGCATCACACGGCAACCCAGTGCGGTTTGACATTCCTTTCAAGGCACGTGCTCCAAAAACTCCAAATATTTCCTGGTTGGAGAGGGAACATAATGCATAAGAAAACTCCTTCTGCAGCGGGGTGCAGGATTGGCTGCAGGCAACTGCCTGGGCGCCTGTTCGCATCGCTAAAGTGAAAGCCTGAACTTTAGCCCAACCATATTCCGGCGAGCGGCTGTTGTGTAGGTCACGACGCTTGGCTTGAGACCCCGTTGGGTCATCCTGGGTGGGTTGTCACATAGAAAACAACGCGACCCTCTGCAGACTCTGCTTTTTTGCTGCGGATCTTGCAGCTGGTGCCTTAGGGATTTGGGTCATGCATGGTGGAAGAAGATCCTAGGCCTGAATAGGTTGCCGGGCGACTCCCGAAAAAGCTCTTCTGCTTCAGCCAGCCGTGATGCATGGCCACAAACGCCTTGGGACTGTCGTGTGCTGATTTTGGTTGTGCCGGTAGCAGTAGCAAGAGGAACCCACACCATCATACTGAAAAACACAGAAACTCGTCGTGGTCATAATCGTAGTGCTAGAAGGTGGTGGCGTGCGGTCATCGCAGTAGTGGGGACAGCAGCAGCAGCATTTGCGGCAGCAGCACAGCAGCAGCAGCAGCAGCAGCAGCAGCAGCAGCAGCAGCAGCAGCATTCGCAGCAGCATTCGCGGCAGCATGCGCAGCAGCATTCGCAGCAGCGGCAGCGGCAGCGGCAGCGGCAGCGGCAGCGGCAGCGGCAACAAGAAGAAGGAGAAGGATAATCATAGGAAAAAAGAGGAACAAGAACCAGCGCGACAGCCACATCCACACCCACAGCCACAGCGACAGCGACAACGAAAACCACAACGAAAACCACAACAACAGCAGCAACAACAACAACAACAACAGCAGCAGCAGCAGCACCGTCATCAGCAGCGCCAACAGCACCAACAGCGGCAGCAGCAGCAGCAGCAGCAGCAGCAGCAGCAGCGTCAGCAGCAGCGGCAACAACAGCAACAGCAACCAAAAACAACCACAACACGAAGAAAAAGAAAAATCAAGAAAGAACCATAACAGTAACGATAACAAGAACGACAGTAACAGCAGCAGCAGCCGCAGCAACAGCAACAGCCACAGCCACAGCCACAGCCACAGGAACAGCAACAGCAACAGCAACAGCAACAGCAACAGCAACAGCAACAGCAACAGCAACAGCTGCCACTGCTACTACTACTACTACTACCACCACCACTACTGCTACAAAAACTACAAGGAACACTACTACGACTACTGCTACTACT